AGTAAGGTATCATAATATATGTGTGACACAGTGAAGTAGTCGTTAGCATCTCTACCTTGCAGTGCTTGGCCATGGGTTCAATTCCTGGGCTACTATCTGAGGGAAATTTGTATGTTCTTTCCATGTTCACAGGGTTTCCACTCCAGATTCATACCACAGTCCAAAGACATACTGGTAGATTAATTGGCTTTTGGGGAAAATTGGCCCTGGTGTGAGTGTGTCTGTGTGTGCTCTGCAATGGACTAGTGTCCTCTACAGGGTGTATTCTGGCTTGCACCTGTTGTATGCTGTGCTAGGCTTCAGCTCCTCCACAAACCTATATTGGATAAAAGCAGTGAGAAGATGGATGTATACTAATATACTGTATGTGCAAAACATATTTTAGAAAACAGAGAGCTATACAATTAATGTCAGCCTTGTTGAAAATACAGAGTGTGATGCGAATGAGCTATGTGATCAGATGTATTCTGGAACAGATTGAACAGTGCCACGGTTTCTTTGATGCCTTTGTTTTAAAAAGGGAAACGTTTAATGTGGGAACAGTTTTCAGTTTTCACTGTCAGACTCTGTACACGACTACAGATTTCTATTGCATCCCTGTCTGTTTCATAAAATATTTAAAATATTATTTTTATCCAACTCACAATATGCCGGATAAATACTGAACCCCAGAAAGTGATTCAAGGAGGTGCTTTTACCTGATAATATGAGTGAGATTATAAGAAAGACCTACAGTATAAACTTTTAATGTCAGATTTACTGTAGATAATGTTAAGAGCAATTTGTAATCTGGAGTCCTGGGTAAAATCTGTATTGCATAAAAGCAGAATACAGGTACTCAGGCCAGCAGAGACCTTACATGTAGAGGCTGCAGTGGGTTTGCTCAAGTGGATTTGTAGTTGAGATGGAAGAGCTAGGTCGGGTATCACAAGTGTCAGGTCGAGAGTATCCAAAACGAGAGGCGAGACGCAGTCGAAGCAGGAGAAAAAAACAAGGTCGGGTAGCCAGAAGTCAGGACGAGAGTGGTAAACGCGCACAAGAGAAAGCCAGTTAATGGGGAAGAGCGCGAGGAATGACAACTGATTAATTAGTGCGCGGGTGTTGATGGTGAGACGTGCTCGTAGGAATGCAGTTCGTGACACCTGGAAGGTAAGCTTCTCTAATGGCACTTTTATGACAGACGGATTTTGGCCATTAACATGACATGCTGCGAAAGCATGCATTTCGGCTTCCAACTGAGACCCTCGCAGTGTGCCACTAAATGTTCAGGCACAGGAGAGACACTGGGAGGTCATTACACTGCTAGGCACCTACTTTGGTAACCCACTGATAACCCACTCCTCCCAGTGGGACAATGTCCTTGTAAAGTTGTGGCTTTTGAGGGCTTAGTGCTCAGAAAGTGATTATATTCCATTGTTACATGGAGCACGGGAAACTTGTAGATGAATCAGGATAAAGTAATGCCAGATTATTGTAATGAGACGAGCATGACTCATTAGAACCCTCATGTATTTACTATCATACCTGCATTTTTTTTTATCAAATAGGTATTGAAGTATCTAAAAGCAATACTCAAAGTGCTGAAGGCTAGACACACATTCAGGAATTATTTGCACTGGTATGTGAGCCAGGGATTAATGTTACAAAAATAATGCCAATGACAATGTAACCAAAGCTTTAGTGGAAGGATACTTAAACTTAACAATACTTTGATAGGCAGGAATAGGTGAAACAGACACAATGCAGCTATAAGGTAAAGAGAAAAGTGCTCTTAGCAGGAAGAGAAGAGGAAGTTGTGGGAATGCTGGGAGACACATAGTGGGCAGGACGAATGAACCTGTATTGACAAAATAGAGAGTACAGAAAGGAGTACAGGAGGCCCAACAGGCATTGGAAAGGACGCCCCCTGGTGGTCCTCTGCAGGCTGTGAACCAGAGGTTGAGACATCCTTTCTTCTTGTAGATCTCAGACTCCGAAGGTTGCATCTATCTACAATATGTAAGGAAGAGTAACTTAAGAAACATACATATTTATTAATAAGCCACCATTAAGTAAATTATATTGGTGCAAAGAGCTATGGGGCTGGATGGAGTAACAGATATGGCTTCTGCATTTTAAGAGTCTAACCTTGAAGACTGGTGAGTAAATTCTGTACATCCAAAGTGAGGACTGAGGGTTGATACCTTAATTACAGGAGCAGATCTAGTGCAGTGTACTGTATGTTTGGAAGAGTAATATTTTACTGAAAGGTCTTACCTCTGAGTTTTGGACAATTAAATCCAGTACAGAGGTAAGGCTTTATTGATGATGAGAGCTTTGAAGAGTCACTAGAGTAGCAGTAGCTGGTGTTTGTAATCCAAAGTCCAACTCAATCGATTGCAGAGAGAGTGGATGGCTTGTTGCACATTTGCCAACATAGGGAATAAGGTGGCAGGCTCAGAATTTAGCAGTATGACGAACAGGAGGAAAATGATAGTGGGTTTAGACAGCACAGCACTGCTGAAACAACTGCAGTGCAGTGACTAATATGGAAGGCAAGGTCAGCAAAAACTCATTGCTGAAAGAGTCAGGTTGGAGCAGCAGTGGCAGAGGGAATCATGCATTGATGTTAGTGTGATGGATGCTGGGAACAAATGCTGTAGTGTCTTGTATTTGTACCATGGTGAGCCAACGAGTGGTTGGAAGTGGATTTCATTGTTCTTCTGAACTTCCCTATTGAACTCCAGTAAGAAATATATTTTCACAGCTCTTCAATTACGCATATAGAAATACCTTTGTAGTATTTCAGTGCTTATCTACTAATATGTCACGGGGAGTATTTACTTCCTGAAAGTGACTGAACAAGTCAGATTATGGCATAATATTACAGTCATGGCAGACGTCAGACTATAAGGCATCATTCCAGATTTTACTGTATATGATGTATCACAAATCTTCTGCATATTTAGGGACTGTACAGATTATTTGTGATACATCATATACAGCAACATCCAAGAGCAATCCTATTTTCGTTAGGATTCACATGGACTGGAGGCATTTTGATTGCCTCTTGTGTACTTGATGTCTCCCAATCCAGAAATGGCTTCAAAATGACTTCTTATATGTTGTTTCTACTGCTGATTAAGTGGTACACTGATGAAAGAAAGGGTAACCATTTTTTATCAGTGTAACCCTGATACATCCCAGATTAAGTCACCTGTGAACCACTGAAATGCCAAAGAAAGATGTGTGCTGCCAGTACCTACAGCACATAAGCACGGGTTGATAATGACACCTTTTTATAGGAGTCCTGACAGCCCATACTTTTTACTGAGTTTGACAATAGCTGCCCCATCCAGGAGCAATCAAAGTTTCAGATAGTCTGGTAAATACTCAGTGCACTCTCTATACGTGCTGTAGTCATTATCCATCCATCTATTTTCTAACCAGAACCAGAGCCTATCCCAGCAAGCAACAGGCACAAGGCAGGGTACAATCTGGACAGGATGTCAGTCCATCAGAGTGTACCTACAGACACAATCACACACTCACTAACACCAGAGCCAGTTTTCCCAGAAGCTTATTAACCTACAGAACCAGCATGTCTTTGGACTGTAGGGGGAAACTTGAGCACCTGGAGGTTTTAGTACCCCAGGCACAGCAGTGAACTCAGACTCACAGCATTGCAAAGGCAGCACCACCACGCCACCCTGTTGTCATTGTCATTGAAGTGTATTGAGGCCCCTCAAGAATTACACGAGAAGCGCCAAAATAAAAACATTGATTTCTTTTTCTTTCAAACCAGCACACATGCATGAGCAAATTAACACCTAAAAAATTACAGCAATACTGACCTTCCTTTACATTCCCATGCAAGGATATAACATACTGTAGTTGCAAGTGTTATCAGTGGTTGTCGTATATTGTAATACAGGTGCAGGCAGCAAGAGACCAACTCTTTCATATCAAGTCAAATTCAGTGTTTACGTTTGGGCATATGGGAAACGCAGACACAATAAAAAAATAAATCTAGTGCAGATATGTTCTTCACAAAGCTTATAGTCAACAATGTGATTTGACATTCCTGACATCTTTTGTGGTTTCTGCTGTAGAAAACTGTAAAGTGCTCTGGAGCAAAGTGTTGCAAAGGGCATCATACTAAATAGAATCATTGGTTTCCCCATGATTTTATCTTTATGGGCAGCTCCATGCTTTACCACTCTTTAACCTTGATTTCACTGGTCAGGAATGAAAGACAGCGTTAGAAAGGCAGGAAAAGTCTTGTTCCTGATTTAACTGTGCTCTTCTGAAATTCAGAATTGAGTAGAAACTCATCTGATGATGAAAGGAGTTGATCGAATAAGTTTTGAAGATGAGGGAGAGCACCTAAAGGTGTCATATTCACGCCTTTAGAGAAACAGCTGCACTGAGTACGGTGCATTGGGGAGAGGTTTCCCACTGTGCAGAAACCATTTTCTTGGTGAAAGCGATGGTCAAAATCAATACAATAGCACCTCACCCCTTAGTGGTAGCATGAAGGAGTAGTCAGGGCACTGGATTCGGATATGAGATACTGTGGGTTCAAATCCCATCTAGCATAATGCTGTTGCATCTGATCTTGCACTCTGAGTACTTCAGTACAAATGCCCTGAGGTGTGAACTTTGGATAAAAGCATTATTGAAGTAAATCAATGGTCATAATAGATTCTCTTTGATAAATAGAAGTAGAGAATTTACTAGTTTTAAATAGTAGAATTGACTATTTATTAGTCGTTTACTGTAGATGAAGTAAGGAATCACACATTTCCAGCCCAAAGTGTTGTGTTGGCAGCAGTATGCCTGATCTCCTGTCACTTTTTGTATCCTTCAGACACAAAAGGTGTTGTGAGTGACTTGGGAACAATGCAATCAATAATGTATTTCACAGTTACAAGCACAAGTCTTTGAATTGTAAGTATTACCCCAGATATTGTCCTGTGGTGTAACCCCTATTTCTCTTTCCCATTCTTTCTGGCTCTCAGCGCATGAAGATCCCAGCCCTAGTGCAGACACTTCCAACTTCCAGCTGCCTCTCCCAAATCCAGGAAAATGTCTGGCTCCTACGATGAATCTGCTAGTATTGAAGAGACCACGGACAGCTTTTGGGAGGTACAAGTGCTGTCCTCTCTTTCTCTCTTTATGGAACAAATTGTTTTGCTCATAGCTTTTCTTCAGTTAAATGTTAATACTTCTGAACATCAAAACAGTGTTTGGAATCACAGCCCCAGTACCCCAGTTCAAGAACAATAGCAGTATTGTATTCTGGGAAATTAGAAAAGTTTACAAAACCACAAGTCACCCCTTGCAAATGAATACTCCTATAGCCAGCCATTTTCTAATAGCCCAGGTGGGGAGCTGCGTCAGCATGCGTAGGCTGCAAAGGAACAAGTAATAAGTTTATTCCATGCTGAAAAGAGAAGAAAGAAAACACTACGTTTCGGTCGTGGAGCCTTCTTCAGGTGTGTGTAATAGCTTCATTCAATTCAGGGTTGTGGGGGAGATGGAGTCTATCCCAGCTAGCAGTGGGCACAGGTGAGATAGTGTACATCCAGGAGGGGACACCAGTTCATCAAAAGGCACACAGAAACAGACTCACACCAAAGTACTGTATGTCTTTGGATAATGGAGGAATACAGAGCACCCAGCAGAAACCCACACAAACATGGGGAGAACATACAAACTCCCTGCAGACAGCACCCCAGGTCTGAAGCTGAACCCAGGGCCCCACTCCTGCAAAGCAGCCATTGTAATCACTGTGCCACCCTGCTACCCTGGGCTCTAAAGTCTCTATTTGTCACATCTCTACGGGACTGTCCCGTTGTTGTTTTTTTAATGTTGTGGCTACACAGGCTGCACTAAAATGGCTACGTATGAATGAGGAAATCTTTTAGTCTGACTACATACACTGAGCACTTCAAGTTTCTAGCATCTATACATACTGTAGGTTGCACACTATGTTTCACTATGTTTCAGAAGCTTCAAAACACTTCAGAACAAGGTGTCGGCTGAAACCAAACAGAAATTTAACAGAGAGGCAGCAAGAGGAACACGTACAACAGCAGAACTTACAATAGATCAGAAATCTAAAAACACACACTTACATCTTCAGATTAGAGGCAGTGGCTACTAAAAGATCCAGAGTGAAGATGTAAGAACAGAATAATCAACAGAAAAGCAGTTGAGCACACTGTAGATAATAGTACATCCACTGTCACTGCAGCAATGGTGTTTTAGTCTGTTGTTTCTGGGCTCCTGGTTAAAACCTGTTTTGAGCAGTTTGTGTAGCCAGGCTCCTCCACCATTCAACAGGTTTGATTGGAGATTTGCACGTTGTTCCACAAGCCAAAGACTCTGCTCATTGAGAACACAGCACCCAGCCTGTGGGCGGGAGGCTTCGACTACAGTGGAGAGACTCCCTGTGATAGGCAGTGGAGGAGTCTGCAGTGCGGTCCGGCCTGGGTCGAACACAGGCAGAGAGGCAAGGTTTCGTGCCATAGGGTTTCAGTTCGGTTCACACGATCCTAAGAGGTATAATATTAACTAGTAGATAATCTGGATATACTGTACTGTAGGGACTCCTGGCTTTAGAAATGTATTAAAGAATTTATGGCCATTTTAAAAAAAGAAAGTAATTCAGTTCTTTAAATAGTCAAAGTGGCTCATTCTTATACCAGAGACCTAGTCTAAAACCTGGATAAGCATCAGAAGGAGGATGGACTTCTCTAACACTGTAGGTTAACAGGTGTCCAGCCACGGAGTCACCAGTATTTGGTCACCTCTGGATGGAGGTGTCTGAGAGTAGATTATCTGGGGTTATTCTGAACAGCTATGGTCAGCTGTGGTTATAATGGACAGCTGTGGCCAGCTGCGATTATTCAGGACAACTGTGGTCTGCTGTGGTTACCCTGGATTTCATCTGAGCAGCCAGCGCTCTGTCCTGGTTTGATAAAAAACCGTTAGCATTTCATGAAAACCTCCTGCCTTGGAGCTGCCGGGAGAAGAAGCCCGTCACAACGCAGAGCGGGCAAGCAGCAGTTTGAAGCGCTGTGATTCGGAGAGACTCCTGAGGTCAGAGCTGCACCCCTGGTGGTGACCCCAGTCCTGCTGCTTGTGGCATCTGTCTGCAGACTCGGTGCTGTGCTCAGCAGCTCTGTCTCCCTTAATCCCATCAGCTCCCATCTGCAGGGGGCGTGAGGGGGGGTTGCTGTTTGGGCCTCATCAAAACAATGTAGATTACAGACTTGACAGGATTCCCCCCCAGCCAGGGCTATTGCATAACTTCACATGTACAGCCACATGAGCCCCTCCTCTCTCCCAGCATTCACCCACGCCCCTGCAGGCTTAGAGGATGGGCTAAAGACCCACCAACATAATCTTAAGGTGGCACAGGAAGATGAATGCCACAACAATGGGACTGATTATACTAGACACTAGAGACATTCTTAAAATGGAACAGGACAGATACACTGTAGCTATTTCTTCTGTGATCCTGACTGCGTCATCTGTGTCAGTATCAGTATTGTGATAACGATTGCCATTTGTAAAGACAGCAATGGGAGCATCATTTCAAGGGGTGCAGTGTGTATGGTTCAAAAATTAATTAATCAAGAAAATAATTTAACAGCTTAAAAAATATAAGAAAGGTTGAAAAAAACAGAATTTTCTCACATTAGCTTGTTGCTAATTGATATACGTAGGTAATTGATAACTAAATGAGATGGATATGAGGACAGCATGGCTAGGCAGCTTGTCTCAGACATGCATTAACCAAAAAGGTGTCTCATATTCACCTTGTGAATTTCTTGATTTCCATGAGGTAGTCTGTCCAATTTGGGATTTTTAACACTTAATGTTATGACTCTTTACAATTTCAATCCTGTTTAGAAGTTATATTCTTTTAAGCTGTGCATGAAACCCTAATCTTGGAGTCTGTGAAGGGTATGTGTTAGACTCTTCCCTGGGGTTGTGAGACCCAATAGTGTGAGTGTGTGAAGGATCTGTGTTAAACTTTTGTCTGTGGTTATGAGACTCACTAGTTTGAAATGTGTAAAGGGTGTGTGTCAGCCTCATTCTGGGGTTGTGAGACTCACTAGTGTGAAGTGTGTGAAGGGTATGTCAGGCCTCTGTCTGGGTTTGTGAGACCCACTAGTGTGAAATGTGTAAAGGGTGTGTCAGACCTCTCTGGGGTTGTGAGACTCCCTAGTGTGACTTGTGTAAAGCGTGTGTCAGGCCTCTCTCTGGGGTTGTGAGACTCACTAGTGTGAAGTGTGTGAAGGGTGTGTCAGCCTCTCTCTGGAGATGTGAGACTCAATAGTGTGAAGTATGTGAAGGGTGTGTGTCAGGCCTTTGTCTGGGTTTGTGAGACCCACTAGTGTGAAGTGTTTAAAGGGTGTGTGTCAGCATCATTCTGGGGTTGTGGGACTCACTAGTGTGAAGTGTATGAACGGTGTGTGTCAGCCTCATTCTGGGGTTGTGAGACTCACTAGTGTGAAATGTGTGAAGGGTCTGTGTTAGGCTTCTCTCTGTGGTTGTGAGACTCACTAGTCTGAAGTGTGTAAAGGATGTATCAGACCTCTCTCTGGGGTTGTGAGAGTCACTAGTGTGACGTGTGTTAAGGGTGTGTGTCAGGCCTCTGTCTGGGGGTGAGGTCAAGGCACTGAGCATCTGCGTAATTTTCTGTCAGGTGGGGAACTACAAGCGTGCGGTGAAGAGGATCGATGATGGCCACCGGCTCTGTAACGACCTGATGAACTGTGTCCAGGAGCGTGCCAAGATCGAGAAAGGCTACGCACAGCAGCTCACCGATTGGTCCAAGAGATGGAAACAGCTGGTTGAGAAAGGTAGTAAGGGACTGGGGGGCAGGTAATAGTGTATAGTATAGTGTGAACTATAAATGTAGTTGTCAAGAAACTAAGACTGGAAAGGAGACTTCCTAGGACTCGGTTAATTCACCCAGAAGCATTTTATTACAATTCAGTAGGATGAATCTGAGTTCAATAAACTTTTAACATATTTCATTGGTCATAATATTGTTTAATAAAACAGATGTAGTTCATGTTTTTTAGCATTTCATTTTCGAAAAAAAATGAATATACGCCTACAGAAATCTGAATAACAATTGGGTTTGTCTATTGGAACAGAGAACTAAATGATTAAGTATTTATACTAAGCTTAAGTATTCAGTATGGATACCTTTTTGCTTCATGTAGGTTACTGATCAGTCTGTTCTGTTCCCTTGTGATAAAGCCCTGTAACAACTTAAGGTGTTCTATATGACTGTCAATTGCTAAATTGCACAAATAACCTAAATTTAAGATCAAATTTGTCATCAAAGCCCTCAATCTGTCCTCTGTTCATTACTCCTACCTGGCTAGTCTGAATTTCATTGTCCCAGTATTAGTGAGAAGGGCCTCAGTTTAAGGTCTTATGGTTTTCAAGAATCTAAAACACTATAATATAAAACAAATGTCTTTTGAGGTCTTAACAGGAGTTTTTTTTCCTGCATTTCAGAGCTCTTCTTCAGGTGGGGACTTCGGAGTTCCTCATACTCATCGTCTCTCTGTCTGTGTGTCTGACTCAGGGCCTCAGTACGGCACTCTGGAGCGGGCCTGGCTGGCCATAATGACGGAGGCGGACAAGGTGAGTGAGCTTCACCAGGACGTGAAGAATGGACTCCTCTCTGAGGACTTGGAGAAGGTGAAGAACTGGCAGAAGGACTCTTACCACAAGCAGATCATGGGCGGCTTCAAGGAGACCAAAGAGGCTGAAGACGGCTTCAGGAAAGCACAGAAGCCCTGGGCCAAGAAACTCAAAGAGGTGAGGGCAGGTGCTCAGCCTGCAGATGCTCAGATCTCAGAAAAGAGGCCTTCTCCACTTCGCCACATCTTAGTTTCCACCAGATCCTCTCTTTGCAACTCACCTGTAATGAACTGAGGGAGTTGTGTAAATAAAGTTAGTTAAGCAAGGGGATTATGAAGTAAAGACTCCATTAGGATTGAAATTGGAATTGGAATCTAGAATGTGTCATTAGCTGGCTCTCTCCAGGAAGCAAAAGGCTGGTACTGTGCCACTGAAGTAGTTTATGTTCATTAGGAGCCAAGGAATTCTCAGCTCTCCATTCCACAGCAATTCCAAATGCAGCAAATGTTCAGTCATCCTAGACACATTGTGTGTGAAGAGAAGAAGATGACTGGGCAGCCTATATATCAGAGGAAATCTTTATGTGCTCTTCTCATCTTCATGTCTTGAGTTCCATGGGTCGCAGCATTGAGCCAGGTCGACAGCTAGTGATTGGTGGCTATAAACTGAAAGAAAAATTAAAGAGAGTGCAGAGTTTGGGACTGGCAGAGAGAGCTGTGTTCATCCAGAAACATCTCACTGAGTTTTTAGCACAAAATTTGTGGAGGTGGAGTACATGTGGAGCAAATTTTGCTCTTGGGGGGAAAGAGCTTTGGGGGGCAGGAGGTGAGTGCTGTACAGATCAGGCAACAAGTTAATGAGTTAGAGGAGGCTTTATATACAGCTGCCTAGGGCTAGAAGGGCCTACCATTGGAGAGTAATGCAGTTTTCCTAAAGATTAGACACTCACGCTGATAGATACTGTTCATAATGCCTGTGGGCCCTTAACCTGATTAGAGATCACCCAGAGTGGAATGCAATGGATGAGTCAATATCTATACAGCACAGCTGTACTTGATGATTGAACAAGATGTGAAGCAAAGCCCAGCTGGACCTGGAGAACTGTGTGAGCTGAGTCTTACATTGCTGGTTTTGATTTGTTGTGGAGATCTAAAAGTCTTTTGGCCAAGCAGTAGCCTGAGGTCAATAGAGGCAATGGGTTGAGTAAAATTTAATGATGATGGGTTATTGAGTCCCCAAAGGCTCATCCAGTGAGGACCCTCCAGTCCTGACATTACTGATTCTGTAATGAGCTGTCAGGACTGAGATTTCCGTACTGGCTGCTGAGTGTTGCTAGGATTGGGTCAACCCAGTGGACTTTTTCCACATCCACAATGAAACTTGAACGAGAGGGCTCAATTGGAAGCTACATGAAAGTGAATTGTAATCTAAGGATCGAAGACACTTCTTAAGGAATGTTGTGGGAGAGAACCAGCTAACCAGCTAACGAGACGGTTCTTAATATTACTGTAATAGAAAGGCTACACTGCCATCTTATTCAGAAACCACAAAGCTGACTGGAAAAGGGAGACATAACTTATTTTTGGTAATCAAACAGTAATTTCCACATTTGTATGACTAGATAAAAATGAAGATAGTCAAAAGTTGGAAATTTCACTGCTATGTTCTTGAAGCCAAAACCCTGGTTTCTTTCAGGGAAAGCCAATAAAGGATCCCCTGATCGATCCGGTACCATCTACCGAACAGGTTACACAGGCCAGATGGTTTCCTCTCGTTTTGTCTTATGTGTTCATCTCCGCTCTCCCCCTTGCTCTATTCTGTCCGTCGATGACACGGTTCTTATGTCGTGTTGTCCCACTCAGCTGGAGACAGCCAAGAAGGTTTACCACATGGCCTGCAAGGAGGAGAAGCTGGCCGCCGCCCGCGAGGCCAACAGCAAGGCAGAGGCCTCGGTCACTGCGGACCAGCAGAAGAAGCTGCACGAGAAGCTGGACAAGTGCAAGCAGGATGTCCAGAAGGTGAGCAGAGGACGTGGCTGTGTGAGCGCAGGCCGGACACTACCCCACACTGTAGGAGCAGTGGTTTGTCAGCAGCTGTTTATTATTCAGTGAAGAGAACAAATCAGCCAATAATCTTCCTTTCTCTGAAGGAGGGGGGGCTCACAAGCCCTTTCTTAATTCATCTAAAAGTCTGATTAACGCGCAAAATATTCAAAACATTTCACAGCTGCTATAACGTATAAGATCACATTATTGGCCATGTACAATTTCTTGTATTAGGAATTTTGTCTTTTCACATACCTCAACTTGCTGTTCATGAGACACACAGACCAGGACAGAAGCTTGGGTTCAGAGCCCAGGGTCAGCCATTTATACGGCACCCCTGGAGCAGTTGGGATCAAGGGCCATGCTCAGGGGCCCAACAGAGTAGGATTCCTCTACCGGCCGCAGGACATGAATCGGCAACCTTCCAGCCACAGACACACATCCTTAGCCACAGAGCCACCACACATTATCAAGTAGATAATGTACTTATCTGCAGCTGATTCAGTCATGGTTGTTTGACAAGTGGGAGGTTTGCAGTAGTTAGAAAAGGACATTAAGGTTTTACAACCCTGCCGCATATGATAAAAATGAATAAGCTTAAGCACATACTTACCTATACATGTCTGTTATTATCATATACAATAAGCGTGCTTACAGACAGAGACTATTAATTAAAGAAGCTCCTAACTGGAAAGAAGTTTCCTTTCTTGAATTGTTCCTCAGCATTGTGCCTCAGTGCACCTGAGTGTATTGTTAGCACTTCTTATACCAAAAAACATTAAAAACGCCCTTTGAGATGAGAAGGGCTTTGAAGTAAAATGCACTTTATTTAAAGAGCTCAGACAGAGTAAAGAAAAGAAAAACAAGTCAGTCGCACAGGCAGGTGGTGTCACGGACGTCCAAAGGGACTAACCGTGGGGAGCAGGAGAGCAGAAAAAGACCCATATGCGTAGTGGCGAGACGGGAAAAAGGCCCGGGCTCATTAGTGCAAAGAGTTCAGGAATGCCGTATAGAAACCTATGCCCTCAGGGAGCGGACGTGGGGCGCCCTGGTGCTAGGCGGGTCTCAGAACATCCGAACAACAATGCTGAGCGAGGACAGAGTGCAAGACCCAGAAATATATAGCCCAAGGAAGAGAGGGACAGGAAGGACAGCAGACCAGAAACTAGGGACAGGACAGAGAAGGAGCGCCCTCTGGCTGCAGAGAGCGTGACAGGTGGAAGTCCACAGCTAGCATATAGCTTGTGTGCCATTTTCCAGATGAATGCATTTGGAAAAGACCTGTTAACCAGAAACATTTTTTGAACTGTTACATGAGCACTACTGTATGTGAGCAACCTAACACACAATGAAGAGCTGTAGACATTTCTTTATATCTGTTAATATCTGAGATCTGGTGCATCTTATTGCATACAATGAAACAGACACATACCACGTACTTACAGTAAGTTCAGCCAGAAGTTGTGCTGTCATGCTGTCAGAAAATCTTTAAGTTGGGCCAAAAGCAGAAAGCCTTGCTGACCTCTGGGAAATGAGTTTGACACCACTGCTTTCAAACAATTATTTGCTTTCATCTTTTTGAGGAAAAGATTCACTTTAAAAGGAAATGTTATTACAGGTTAATAAAGTACAGATATTGTACAATAAAGCTTCACATAAAGATGTTAACCTTATTTCCAGACCCCATACGCTCTTTTTCCAATATTGTAATCAGAAACAAATCTAAGGGACAAAAGGTTATCTTATGCAAATGCTCACTCTATTGTTGGACTCATGTTTTGACTCATTTGAGTTATTTCTCCGCCATTTCTGACTCTTTAGGAAGAAGTCTGAGAGGGTTTCTCCTCATAAAGATATTTCATTAGCTAATTGCTGCATGACAGACATTGCTCCCCTGGGCCTGTCACCATGTAATCAAACTGTTGTCCTTGGCCTAGTTATTGAGAAAGAAATCTCGGCCTAACGCGGTCCCTGCAAAGGTTGAACACTGTAGGACCAATTCATTAACTTTAAACCGTGCGGCTGTAAGTCAGGACTCTTTAATCATTCCCTTTCTCCATGCATTTTTAATAACTGACATTTGTACAGCAGCCTGCACTATTTGTCTTCCAGGACATGGGAATGTTGCATTATTTCACTGGTCAGACTCTGTGTGCAGAACGTTTAGTAGTTTCATCAATTTTTAAGGACTAAAAAAATTACCTACCTCTCAGTTTATTGGCTTGTTAAGAGATGGTAGTGTTGTGTGTTTTATTTTTGTTAACATATTGGATTTCAACTTTACGTTATGCAGAAATTCAAATGCAAAAGAAGAACAGACCCATTGAGACATCACCAAGTTCTTAATATTACTGTAATAGAGGGGCTACACTGCCATCTTTTTCAGAAACCACAAAGCTGACTTTTCACTGGAAAAGGGAGACATAACTTAGTTTTGGTAATCAAACAGTAATTTCCACTTCTGCATGACTAGATAAAAATGAAGATAGTTAAAAGTTGGAAATTTCGCTGTGGTTAATTGTTGTGTTGCTAACGTTAGGTGCATTGCTCAAGCACATGATGTCACTTCCTGCAATGCGTATGCAGGACAGTAGATCACAATGCATTTTAGAAATGTAGTACAGGTATCAGGACAGTCAGGTCTTCAATCTTTATCTTTCAACTTCAGCAGATCCCCAGCTGCTCATTTTTTTGGGGGGGAGGGAGGGGCAGTAACTGGGTATAATGGGATTGCTATCGGCTTTTCTGCTACATACCTGTAGGATATTTGCTCCACATTGATTTTAAAATATGCCTGGGAGCACTACACTGGAATGGTGTGCTGTGCTTGTGACTGTGTCATGGTGCTGTGTTCCAGGCCAGGGAGAAGTACGAGAAGGCGCTGGACGAGCTGAACAAGTGCACACCCCAGTACATGGAGAACATGGAGCAGGTGTTCGACCAGTGCCAGCAGTTTGAGGAGAAGAGGCTGTGCTTCCTCAAGGAGGTACTGCTTGACATTAAGCGCCACCTCAACCTCACTGAGAACCAAAGGTGAGCTGCTGCCCTCCTGTCCCATAACGTCCCGTTGTTGTCTTTGAGATAGACTTCCACTTCGGTCAGGGAATTGTGGGTAAGGTTCTGAAATAGCATGTGGTGCAAAATGCGATATCAGGTGGCTCAAGGAGTATACAGTTTGCTGTGTTTCTTTTGTGTGTGGGTAGTTCTTAATTTACAATCTCTGAATTTGCAAGTTTTTGATTTAACGTTCATTATCACAGCAAAGCCTTTGTGCATGTCCAGCAAAAGGCAACTGGATGGAGTGTTTGAGACTATATACAGGATACATTCACCCATCTCCCATCGTCTTCTCCTTATTAAATAACTTTATTACGTGTCTTTGTTATATTCCCTTGACATTTTACATAAAATAGATTAGCATTAAACAAATTCCATTCCATTTCAAAATCCATTCATTTTCTAAACTGCTTTATCCAGAACAGGGTAGTGGGGGAGCCAGAACCTATCCTGGCACACATAGACAATCACACATTCACACCAGTCAATTTTCTCAATTAACCTGCCAGTATGGTTTTGGATTGTGGGAAGAAAGCAAGGAAACCAGAGCACCCAGATGTAACCCACATGAGCACAGGGAGAACATACAGCAATTCCAGACACTCCAGGAATCGAACCCAGGGCACGAACTGCAAGGCAGCAATGCAAAACACTGCACTACTGTGCCACCCCCTTAACAACCATTTACTTCTCAAATGACTTTTAATACAACATCATACATCTTTAACATAAACATCTAACATGAATAAGTCATTTTAATCTGGGAGTTCAGGCCTGTGGTTGAAAATGGACCCAGAACACACACCCACCATTCACATACGTTCTAATAGGGAACATGTTTTTGTTTTAGTCATTTCAAGAATGTGTCTGACATGAAAAATTATAACCTCTATTTTGTTAAGATTTTCAACTCGTCAGTATATTTTAACAGCGTCGATTCCTGTTTTCCACATGGAGGAAACGTGTTTGGATTCTCAGAGCTGTCAGAACAAACAGAGAAGGGGCCATTCAGAAATGTGCATGGAAGATGTTTACACTGGCAACCACTGTGTCTCCTAAACTTTTATTCCTGTCATGAGACAACTCTGGGATTGTCTGCCAACCTATTGTTGTTCAACCCTAGCCTTGACACCACATGCCTGTAGTGTTACAGATTTAAAGTAGTTAATAGTGGGGGGTGATCTTTATTAGCTTGTACTTGTACAAACATGACCCATCATAAGCCTCTGGTCTCCTTGTATGGATCATTGAGATGTGATCATTTTTTTAAATATTTAAGGGGCTCTTGAGGGGTTCCACTAGTAAAAGCATTTGTTGGCCACAGTCTTGATGCCCAGCCCTTGCTGAGTCAAGTCTGCACTAGACTTGACTTGAATAACCCAGAGTACCCAGGATTCCCCAGCCAATGTGCGCTGAAGTCAGTCAGGGAATTCTCTAGTTGCCAAGCAACAGCGGCAGCAGTGCAGTGCCCTTGGACGGGCAGTGTTGTCAGGGGGAGAAATGGTGATGTTTTGTTCTCGTTCACATTTAAGAGAGCAACTTTGTCACCAGAAAAAAACAAACACAATCACGGGGTGCCTCCAGAGTGGCTCAACTGGTAAAGTGATTGCCTCATCTTAAGTTATGCTCAAGGAACATGGATTCGAATTTGAGATTGTGCTACATTTACAAAAAAATAAATACAGTATGAGAAAACGTGGACATTCACATTTTACAGCAAAGCTGTGCTTTGCTTCAGAAAATATTGAAGTATTCCTGTAAAGGGAGCTCCAGCAGAGTAGGTGTCAAATTCTGGGACACATGACATTCCTGATGAAAGAAGGTAGAGTAGCAATACAAAATTGAAAACCGCATGCGAATTTGGAAAGGAATTTACTGCACCTCCGAGAAACATATCCCCTATGGCATGTAAGCGCTGTTGAGGTACATTGGCAGATTGATAGGAAGTATCAGACACAAAGCAATCATGTTTTTAAGCTCTTCAAAGTAATCTGGATGGTGTGTAGGCGCAGGTAGCTGCTGTGTGTCAGATGGGCCATGATTCAGCCTAGCCCAGCACTATTAAATCATGAGTTATGCTTATACAGAGGTTTGTGGGAAGCAGCATTAATACATACACACACAGCCATCCAAGAGCACCTCCTCTAAGAGAATCTACGGACATTCAGTACTTCCAGAGTGAATGCTTAGTGGGCACTGCTCTGACCCCTGTCTCCGTTGTAACCTAATCACACACACAAACACACAGTGCATACTGAATACAGCTGAAGGGGCCAGAACACAGCATAGAGTATTTCTTCTGCAACACTTAACCTTAGGACTTAGGACAGAAAGCTCTCCTCATAGAAAGTACTGTAGAGTTCTAAATTGACTCCCTGCAAGGCCAGTTCTCAACACAGCACAACATAGTAAAAATACAAAGGGCTGTACAGACTGCTTTCAATCAAATCTTGTAATCTTCTAATCTTTTTTAATTGTTTTTAATTGTGATGGAAATGATTATGTTTGTTAAAGTTGATTAAGACAAGTCATATAGCTTCAGAAGAGAGCCCTCTGCAAAAATCCCCTTCTGTTCATAGGGGATTAGTTAGTAATAGCAGTGTCTGGTAGTGGGCCTGTGCTGACTGAGTCTCTATTTTTGTCTTTGTGTTAACATGAACTCCTTCCTGCCCTTAGCTATGCCAATGTGTACTGGGAGCTGGAGAACACCATCCGCACTGGAGACGCTCAGGAGGATCTGAAGTGGTTCAGCAACAACCATGGCCCCGGCATGCCCATGAACTGGCCCCAGTTTGAGGTACACCCCTCACGCTGTGTCCCACAGAACAGTGCACAGGTTTCCCACTGTGCTCCTCACTGGGAAAAAGCCTGTAAAAAACAGTTTGAAATCGTGAAATCAGATTACAAAACAGTCATGGTGAAACCACTAGAATTGAACAAGTAAATCAACAAAAAATTGATTTTTTAAAAAGTAATTTTCTCTATATCGTTGAGCTATTTGAACAGGAAAAAAATGTTTTAGAAGAAAAGTCTGTGAGATCATCCAACGTTCATCCAACATCTAAGTTGTGTAGTTTGCCCTGTAAGGCAAATCAAAGCTGACTTCTGAATGCTGTCGGCATTTGACAGGCCGTTTTGTCATTCCAGAATACAGCTGACCTGCCACCAGGGGATGCCAAAGGCCCTCTAACAATTGTAAACGGGCATACTTGGTGGTAATTAGTTCATTATTAGATTATTGATGACAAATCTAGATTTTTGATTAGTGGTGTCTAGAGTATAAAAAGGGCCTGTAGTGTTAATAGTTGTTGAGTTTGGTAGGAGTTACTTAAAACCTCCTGGAGCATTATCCAGCAGCCATATCACCCTGCAACTCACAACTGGCAACCCACTGAAGCTCAGCAGGTGTGAGCCTGGTCAGTACCTGGATGGGAGACCTCTGGGGAAAAACTAAGGTTGCTGCTGGAAGAGGTGTTAGTGGGACCAGCAGGGGGCGCTCATTGGTCCATGTGGGTCCTAATGCCCCAGTATAGTGACGGGGACACTATACTGCTGTCCTTCAATGTAAAACTGAGGTCCTGACTCTCTGTGGTCATTAAAGATCCCAAGGTGTTTCTTGAAAAGTAGGGGTGTAACCCCAGTGTCCTGGCCAAAGTTCCCATTGGCCCTTACCAATCTTGGCCTCCTAATAATCCCCCTCTATGAGTTGGCTTCATTACTCTGTTTTCCTCCCCACTGATAGCTGATGTGTGGTGAGCGTTCTGGTGGGGCTGCACATTGGTGGTGGTGGAGTGGATCTCCATTACCCGTAAAGCGCTTTGAGTGAAGTGTCCAGAAAAGCGCTACATAAATAAAAGCAATTATTATTATTATTATTATTATTATTATTACTGTACCAGGGAGGGCAGCCGGGTCAGCCCGGGACTGTCCAGCTTGAGACTGACATTGACTGACCAGTTAGACACAATGATCCTCCTCTCTCAGAGCTAATTCCTGGCTCCAGTTTAGGACAGACGTCTGTCTGATTACTGTCTGCTCCTGTGGCTATATCCAAGCATCAGATACATCAGACTGGTTAAGCAATGGAGTGTCCTTTTTATGGAATAGTTTTCTGCAAAGCCTGAGCACCTCTCTCAACTATACTGGCTACATCCAGGGGTTGTCAGAAGACAGCTCCCCTTCAGCTTTCCAGAGGCAGAGTAGTTTCTTTCAGGGTGAACTAATTTGTCAGACTTTGAATTTGTCAGTTCTGATCCATTTAACCTGTCATTTAACCACTTTCCTTCCTCACCTGGGAAAAATATTGAAATTATGACAACTAGATTCAATGAGATCCAAAGGAAAGCAGCCAGGCTAATGTTCAGTCTCCTCCTTCAAGATCTGACAAGGAAATATCACTGTACAGTAGCTGTGTTTCAGTCTATACCAGAAAACCATGTTGATCCTTAAATGGATTTTGTTGCCTTTTTGTATGTGTGTGACTTATGCGGGACTCCCAGATAGACTTCCTGTCTTTGGGTGTGTCATCATTCACAAGGTGGGACATTCATTACTGTTGGTTCTATATGATTTCCATCCCCACCCACACTGATGATATCAGATTTTATGCAGATAACAGCCAGGGAATTAATTGCACTCTCTTGTTGTACTTGCACAACAAATAAGATGGTTATATGTGAGATAAGACCCTTGTCCCATCTAGTTAGCAGTAGCTTAATAATCTGAGGATCTTATGCAGCTTTTTAGTGAATATTGTCTGTGAATCAGTGTCAACCACATGGTAGGACAGTTTGTTCCAGACACCCACCACCCTTTGTGTAGGAAAGCGCCTCCTTTGCTCCCTCTTAAACATACTTCCTCTGGTTGTGTCCTTGTGTTTTTGTTTTCAATTCTGATACAAAGTAATCTATTGGTTTTCTTGTGTCAGTTCCTTTCAGGACTTTGAATACTCATATTAATTCCTCTTGCAATCTCTTCTGTTCAATCTCACATTTTACCAGATATCAAATCAAATACAAAACAGGTCACAGATTTTCTCAGATGCTAAAGACTTGGGTGGAATCATACCTTTCTGTAAACTAGTAAACTTGAATACTTTGACAAGGGATGAACAGTCCTGAAGTAGGCCAGTATTATTTATCAGCTGATAAATTAAATTTGCCTGAAAAACCTGCAGGACTCCTGCCTTCAAGATTGCCTTTGTCCTACTCTGGCCTCTTGTTAGAGTACTCTTTCTTGGGGTCCTTGCCTGTTGGGGTCCTGATTGAGGAAGAGAAACACACGGGGTTCACGATTCACCCCTTCTCTGCTCATGTAGGTCAGCTGTAGTAGGCGCATGAGGACTGACAAGGATTGTCTTGGTTTTTTCCCTGCAGGAGTACAACCCTGACCTGACCCACACCATCACTAAAAGAGATAAGGTTAAAAAACCGAATGAAGGAGTGACCTTGACTAATGTCACCCCTGGAGTGGAGCATGTGGCACAGGCTGGTGACAGGGGCAGGTAAGTGATGGCCTTATGAAAATGGTCATACCATTGCAGTGAGAGGGAAGGGAGGGAGTTATAAGACAAAGTTTAGAATGAATGGCAAAGAAGTGTCTAGAACACAAAAAAACTATGTCGCCGCTACATGCTCTGCATGGCAGCCATATCACCCTGCAGCTCATACATGACAACTCACTGAAGCAATTCACATCTGACAACCCACTGAAGCTCAGCAGGTATGAGCCTGGTCAGTACCTGGATGGGAGACTGGCACACTATGGCTGCTGTCACATCATCCAGGTGGGGCTGCACACTGGTGGTGGTGGAGGGGAGTCCCCATTACCTGTGAAGCATTTTGAGTGGAGTGTCCAGAAAAGTGCTATATAAGTCTAAGAAATTATTACATTCAGCCAATGGTACAGAAATTAATCTACAGTCGCTCAGAATGTTAAAATGTTCCCATAATTGTATTTTCACAGTTTTGAGTTCAACTGGTTGAATTTTAAAAACTGATAATAAACATAAAATGACACAAGAAAAGTTACAAATGAGAGGAGACCCTCAGCCTGTTTGGTTGTTTGGTTGCCTGGATCATTGGCATCACTGATCTGAGAATCCTATTCCCTCAACTCTTAGGATACGACACATTTAGCACCAGCTACCTGGCTATGGAGATAGAGACTTTTACCCCTCTGTGTAAAGTAAGGTCTCCTGGCTTGTGACCTGAGTATTGAGGCTGACTTTGAAGATGTGGCTTATATGGACTTGCTCAATACCTTTTGGGATTTTCAAAATCAAGTCTGAATCAAGTCCCAATGTTCTTAAGGTTTTACTTTAGTTAAGGTCCCAAGGTAAATAACTGTAGTTAATATGTTTGGTAGGAGTTACTTTATGGTTGGAGGCTTCTCAAGAGAAGCTTCTTGAGAGCTTTAAGTATTGCAGCTTTTCCTTCTGATCAGGTGTTTCTGTTTGCTCTCTGTTCTGTATTGCTTCTAGTTCAGGGGAGCCCAAATCCAGTCATTGAGGGCCACCGTCCGGCAGGTGTAATTGGTCTCGGTAAATCTCCAGCTTCTTAAGAACATGGAAGGGCTTCAACTTTTTCAATTAAGCAAATCATGAGTTTGATTAGGTAATTAAGGGCTTGGATAGGAAGAAAACCCAAAACCTAGTGGCCCTCCTGGACTAGAGTTGTGTCCCCATGCTCAAGACCCATTCAGTGTGATATTGTGATATTTAGGGTCCTTATTGAGTTTGGTTTCCTGTGTCTCCCAGTCTGTGCCAGTGCTGGTTGCTGGCGCTCTGACCCTCTGTCCTGTCTGCCTCTCTCCAGCGTGAGCAGCTACGACAAGAACCAGACCTACTCGGCTGAGTGGTCCGATGAGGAGCCCGCCAACCCCTTCACTGGCAACGAGACCAACGGGGGCGCCAACCCCTTCGAGGAGGAGTCGGCCAACAAAGGGGTGCGCGTGCGGGCGCTGTACGACTACGACGGGCAGGAGCAGGACGAGCTGAGCTTCAAAGCTGGTATGGGCCAGGGCTCGCAGTCCAGAACCGAACACAGCTATTGACTTTCTTCTGAGGTTTCTGACACCAGTGCATCTGTTTTCAAACTACCTTATTAGATTCAGGGTCGTGGGGGAGCAGCCTATCCCAGCAATCAATGGGTACAAGTGGGGTTACACCCTGGACAGGATGCCAGTCCATCGCTGGGCAGACACAGACACAAACAAACACACTCACACCATGACCAATTTTCCCAGAAGGCAATTAACCTACCTGTATGTCTTTGGACTGTGGGAGGAAACTCATGGGAAGAGCATTCAAACTCCACAGAGACAGCAACCAGGAATTAAACTCGGGACTCAAGTGCCATGAGGCAGCAACGTTAACCACAGCACCACAGTGGAATTCAACAGAGCTGTAAATAAGCAATTACAAACCCAGGCTCTTACCTGAAAAGAGAATGCTTTCTCATACCCCAATAAAATCTTACATCAGGTGCTGGATTAATAGCTTGTGATTGGTGGGATACTGTTTAGAGCTAGGCCTACTTTTGATTTAGTCTTCATTTTAGCATGGTTCGTTCTGAGTCAAGTTTTCTCAAGAGCTACTTTCATTACCAGCCAGTGTGGTGATAAAGTGTGATGAGGTCCCGGAGTCAAATATAGGCTGTTGAACTGTATGTGTCGAGTTGCAAGTTCTCCCCATGCCTGCATGTTTTTTTTTCTCAAAGTGATCTTGTTTTCTCCTGCTTCCCAGGGACACATATGAAAGCTGGGCTTCACAGCTCATTACTCTGCCCTATCAAGGGTGACTCGGATGTTACTAAAATATATGAGTATTAATAGGTGTGATGTTTTTATTTTTTATTTTTTTACAGCCTTTGGGTCTGAGCAAGCTATGTTCTGAATAACAAAATCCAAATTTGTATATATTTAAAATATTGTAATTTGTAGAGATCTATGTAGATCTCTAGTGCAAGAACCCTGTAGCTGAGAGACAGTAGTGCTATCCACCCTGCTGCCTGTACAGTATCTTATTCCAGGAGGTAACAAAAGAGTTTCGTGCTTCTGGGAGTTATTCTGTGTACAGCTAGTGCTGGCTGTGTAATGACAGAGAAACAGAACCAAATGCGCTCAAAAGGGCTGAGTGGTTTTCTCTCAGTTGTAGCCTTTCTGAGACAGGCAGGGTAGCCAGGATTCTAATGGATGGTACAGTATCAGTCAGGAATTGAACTCACTTTAAAAATGAGAATACAGCCAGCAGCAATCCCATCATCCTCCACACAGCTCTCAGCCTGCAGGGACAAACCCTCGCTATGGTTAGTCACTTTTGAGTGGGCTCGTTACCAATTATGACATTTATTACACACACCTGCTACAATTTAACTCAATTGATGACAATTATCTTAGTGTCACTAAGGTACTATTAAGATCTCTGGTTCTAAAATGGGTGTCAGCATTCATTCTTTGGAAAGATGTGATCAATTAGCATATTGACTCATTACACTGTGATCAAAGGATGACGCGTCTCTTGTAAGCCACAGAACAACACAAGCCCTTGTTGCTGTATTGAAAGCGCTTGAGGCTCACTGAAATGACAGGCTGTCACTGTGGCAGGAGTCAATGGAAATGAGCAAGGATGTGGATACCCAGTGCAACGTGGCTAAAACCCTCATTATTCCAGCTTTTAATGCTTTTGTTAGTATAATGTATTTAATGGAACAAGCAAAGGTTTATTCCATGCTGAAAAGAGCAGAACGGAAACACGTTTTCGGCTGTGGAGCCTTCTTCGGGTGTGAACTGCATTGTGACATACGAAGAAGGCTCCACAGCCGAAATGTTGTGTTTCGGTTTTTCTCTTTTCACCATTGAATAAACCTTTAATTGTTCCTTTGCAGCCTACGCATGCTGACGCAGCTACCTACTTGAACTACTTAATGTATTTAATAACTAGTCATTTGACAGATCCTTTTATCTAAAACTAGGCAGCACAGACTAAGGACTTAATTGTTGCTGCTAAATTTCTTGCAAT